CTCTAAACAATACTCATCTGCCTGAAGGTAGAACCACCCCCAGGAAGATGGACCTGGGAGTGGATCACCCCAGACTGGCCTTGCCACATTTGGCACATCCCCACGTGTTCCAACAGGGGTCCTCTCATCATTCCCAGAAATCACCTGCTCTTCCCAACTGGCCTCCACCACCCCATTTTATAAAGACAGAACACTGCCTCTCAGATCCTACCAAGTCACTTTTGTTTCCTGTGACACTCTGTACATGTCATCGTAAAAGGTAATAAATTTGTACTTTTTCTTCGTCACCATACCTATTGTCAGTTTATTTTCCACAGATGGAAGAGGCTGGCCCCTCCTCATCAAAAGTCCTATAATAATCAAATTTAGGGAACCTGCTGCCTTAGGCTGGAATTCAATTTCCTGGATTGAGAACAAACACAATCAGGCTGCTGGAGAGGAGCGCAGCTCCTCAGACACATGGCCCTGCCTAACCCCTGGCTGGAAGCCAACCATGTTCCTGGTTTTTAATCAAATTAGGTGGCAAGTAGGTAAAAGTGAAGGGAGGGAAGGAGTAAGCGGGGCTTGGGGCCGGGACACACGTACCCACACCAAGAGAAAAATGGATTGATTTTCTCCAAGTCTTCATTAGCCCTACCTTGACCATCTATCTTGGAATGAACTATGGCCACACCACTCTCTGGACACCAGCTGGGCAGAACTGGAGAAAACAAAGCAGGGGTGGGGATGGCATTGCCCACATACTGTGTTGGCTCCTGGAAAGACCTCACATTCCTGGAACCAGGTACACACAGAGCATGTACTCGTGGCCAGAGCCTGGATGGAACTTGACAGACAACAGGGCCCTGAGATAGCCCTGCTCACATCGCACAAGTAGACTGCAAGTGTGCAGAGTGTTCCATCTGCAGCCTCACTCCTTCCTGGATTCCTCACAATGTAACCAGGGGGTCATGATGTCCGAGAAAACCTAGAGAGCAAACACAGGAAAGGATGTGAATCCTTACCCCATCCTCAAGCTAGTGGGAACTGTGTTCTCACTGCCACAGAGTTAACTAGACCATCAGCTTCCTCTCTCCTCACAGAACAAAATCACCTGCTTTGGGACATGATTTCTCCATGTTCCGGATGATCAAAGGGTCTTCCCATCTTCCATATTTTTTAAGGCCAACCTGTCATCTCAGGGAGGGTTAGAAGCTTGATAGAAGGGCAATTCTACCTAGCAAAAAATATCCTTCCCATGAAGACTTCCAGCCTTCCACCAGAATTCTCAGAGCTTTGGTTCAGTGAGGAAAGCCAGGCATTAAGCTACAACATCTAAGTTGGTGAACCACCAGAGACTACTGCCCCATGCAGGTGACCCCAGGCACTCAGTTCATGATCAGTGAGGGATGAATCTGAAGACCCAGCACCCAGAAGGTAGTTCCAATGGTTGGTCAATGCCAAGGTCATCCTGAATTGCAATTGTAGATGGGAACGTGACCTAGCAGATTCTTCCTGATTTTCATCTTCACGTTGTATTACTCAGGTTTTCACTGCTAGGACAAAATACCTTACATGCAATTTAAAGAAAGAAAGATTTTTTTGGTTCATGGTTTCAGAGGTTTCAGTTCATGGTTGACTGGCTCCCAAGCAAATTGTCATGGGAAGGGGCCAGTTAAGGAAACCTGCTCAATTCATATCAGCCAGGAAGCAGAACACAGGGCAAGAGCCAGAGAGGAAGGGGCCAGGAACCAGATATAGTCCCCAAAGTCATGTCCCCATCACCCAATCAGAAATACCCAGAAGTGTGTTTCACTAATCTTCTAAGGGTATCTCAAACCAATCAAAGATAAACCATCACAACTCTTATGTCAGTCATTTAATGTTAATCTTTCTATTTATATATCTCTAACTTGATCAACAATTCTGAGTACCCAACTGCATGACCTGGTTTTTCATTATGGAAAACAGTCCGCCACATTCCACTCTCAATAAGAATGTCACTGTGCCTTTCTACTCAATGAAAGCAATTTCAACAAAATCAGCCTCTAACACCCCCAATAGGAGTTGTGGGGGGCCCAGAACCCTCCTCAGCAGATCCCAAACATGTAGACCTTGCATTCGTATGATTTCTCCTTAGGAATGTGACTTTTATGAGGTTTAGGGATCAGCCTTTTCAAACATAGGGGAAATGCAAATCAAAACCACAAAATGAAAAAGCAGCTCACCCCTACTAGGAAAGTTACTGCCAGAAAAATCAAAATACAACAAGTGTTGGAAAGAATATGGAGAAAATGGAACCTTTGTACACTGCTTGTTAGAATGCAAAATGGGGCAGCTGCTGTATAAAACAGTATGGTAGTTCCTCAAAAAGAATCCATATAATTACCCTATGATCCAGCAATTTTACTTCCAAGTGGAAGAATTAAAAACAATGCCTCTAAGAGATCTTTGAAAAGCTGCGTTCATAGTATTCTTCACAATAACTAGGACAGAGAAGCAACCCAAGTGCCATCAATAAATAGACACAAGTATCTATAAAAATAATAGAATACAGTTCTACCTCAAAATGGCAGAGAATTCTGACACACACTACAACATGGATGAACTTTTAAGACATTTTTCTGTGTGAAATAAACCAGGCACAAAAAACAAATTGCATGATCCCACTTAAACATGTGCAATTGAATGTTTATATCCTCCACAATTCTTATGCTGAAATCCTAACCCCCTTTTGATAGTATTATTAGGTCATGAGGATGGATCCTTCATGAATGGAATTTAATCCCTTACAAGGAATCCTGGCAAGCTCTATTTCTCTCCCACCATGTGAGAGAGTATATAAAGATGACACACTGTCTACACCAAAAAGAGGGCCCCACCAGACACCAAATCTGAACCTCAGTTACACATAAATAGAAGCATCCCCAGGTCCAACCAGAACCTTGGGGCTGCCTCTCCAAGCCCCCATTCCTTTGAAGCATGGATTCCCTGCTCTGGCCACTGAAAATAGAGGCAAGGACCAGAGCCAGGCCTGTGACAGGCTTCACTCTACCCACATTCCTAGATACGTACCCAGCAACCACAGCTTGCAGCCCAAGACCCCTAATTAGGCAGCTAATTAAGGGGCAGGAAGGAGTCTCTAATTATACCACTAACTTGCATCTGAAAATGACACCCAGTGGCTTGCTCTTGTCTCCCCTCTCTGCAGTGGCCCACTTCCAAGGCCAGTCAGCTTTGCAGAGCCAAGAACCAGTCAGAGGACCCAGAATATGGGGGATCTGCAAACTCTGGTAGAGGAGGGGGCTACCCAGCTATGATATGGTGAGGAGCACAGTCAGTTCCCAGGCAGGGGTAGAGTCAGCAGTGGTAAGAAACACAGGGTAAGGGGCCATCCTGAGGATAGAAATATCCACTAGAGGTAGAAGAGGAGATGCAGGGCCCCAGAAAACAGCAACCATACTCATGCACTGGCTTTGCCTTGCACCCACCCACTGGTCTCTCCATTCAGATGGCCTAAGCCCAGGTCTCTCCAGGTGGCTCAGTGTCCCTTGATTTCCAAACACCTGAGTTCTAAATGCCTAGGGACCTCCGTGCTTCCTTGTCTCAGCTCCCCCCTCCTGAGCCTGGTAACAGTTGCTGTCGTCTGCTGGTGGTGGCGGTGGGGGGTGTCATCAAATCCTACCTGCCTGCCCCTCATGTTTCCTTATATGCACTGTAGCCCTGGGACACACCCTACACTCTGTTAGGACAATAGGAGCACAGAGGGATCCCTATCAGCCTCAACAACGCTCAGAAACTTACCAACATGAGGGCCATGCCCCAAGGTCAGCCTTCTTCACGATCGTCAAAACCATCACCATCTCCTGACACACTGAGATGTTAAAAATATCTTTCCTTGGTACGCTTTCAATAAATTTGTGCAAACGGGTTCGTCTCCTCTGACTTATAATTACCCCAGGCCTTGGGTAACCTAGCGCAGCAATCCTTTATGATATAATGAAATGAAGGTAATTAATCGCATTCAAATACCCTGAACATTTTGCTCTGGTAGCACAGCAATCCCTTTAAAAAGAGTTTATGGCATTTAAATAGACACAGTTGTACAGACAGGAGAGGGGGGAGCCCCAGGGCCGTCCACATAGTTGTACAGACAGGAGAGGGGGGAGCCCCAGGGCCGTCTGCCAAGCCCCCCAGGAAAGCTGAAAAGAAATGTCCATTCAGAAGTGATTCATCCACAGCACAGCCATCGCTGCAGAAGTTCAGGCTAATTCCAACCTTTTCAAAGTGCTTGTTAAGCCTCTTTCAGTTATAATTACCCCCAATCTCCAGATATCACAAGGCAGCAATCAGGAAGTTAGATATGGCCAAGAGAGAACTGGGGAAAGTGAAGAAATGGATCCAGCTCCGCGGGGGACAGAAGTCTCCTTCCCTGGATGTGGATGTATACTTGGCCATCTACCCTTGGTTCTGTCACCTGTATGTCCCAAAGAATAGGCACAGGCCTCGTTTCTGCGCTCCAGTGTACCGGAGATGGCTATTTTGGTAGACAGAGGCCTCCAACCATCACAGTGGCTCCTGGACACTGGGGTATTTGCCACACCACACCACTCCTCCTTGAACATTTTTCCCTTAGGCCTGAGCATACTTCCTCTTTGAAGAAATAGCTTTGGCTACAACATGGGTCTCAGAATTACAAGTGGGTGCATTCGGGGGCTCAGTTCTCACATTGGTGACTGTCTCTCAGTGACTGTGCCAACACCACCCTCAGCTCCTGGCTGAGCCATGAGACTCCCAGAGAGACTTAAAGGTGGTTGTGACTGGGCCGGCAGCTCACCCTGACACCCCAGAACCGCTACTTCCTCCCTGACAGACCTAATCCAGCTGTCCAAGTCCATCTCAGCCAAGAAGTCTCTGGCTTCTAAAGAGAATGCAGCAGGTGGACAAGGTGACAGTTGTCTAGCTTCTTGGTCCCACACATCCCCCATCCTTTGCCTCCCTACCCAGAGGACTTGCCTTACCTTGCCAAAGCTTCCCTTCCCGATAGCACGCAGGATCTGGAAGTGATCGAAGTTCACTGCAGAATGAAACAGAGGGACATCAGGTAAGGCAGTAGAAAGACCCCACGCCCAGCACATTCCCCAACCCCGAGCAGCCCCACACACACTCGGCACCTCCAGCAGCTGGCCAGAAGCCCGGCTGCTTTAGCCTACAGAAGGGTCAGTTGTGGCTCAGAATGGACTCATTACCTGTGCAAATCAAGAAGGGCTGAGCCCAGGGAGAGGGTGGCCCAAGCCACACAGTGCCCTTTTCTCAGAATCACTATGGGGTGGGAACATGTGGCTGGCCCACAAATGTGACAGAGATGAATGAGATGGAACAAGGCTCCCAGAGTGCCAGACTTGTTCAGCTGCAGTCCTGACACCCAGCCAAACGGAAAGCTGCTCCAACAATCTGAAGACCCACAAACAGGCAAATCTGGGAGTCTCAAGAAGCCTGAACACACAGCTCTGAGTGTTCAGGGGACCAGGGGAGAAAGGGCATGTGCCCTGCTGGGACTCAGTGGACAGGCCAGGGTGGGAGGGAGGTAGGCCCTGCAATCCTCCAATGTTAATAAAAGAGGAGGGGCACAGGATAAGAATGTTGAGTGTGCCTAGTCTCTGGCTGCTCCTTCGCAGGGTCACAGCAGCACACTCCTCCTGGAGAAGCCTCGATGAGGGACTGAGTGGGATCCCCTCGGTGTGAGCCATTCTGAGGCTTTCCAGACATCTCACCATGTCAACACGGCTGACACTGCTTGCAGACACGGCCCAGCTCATCTATGCCAGGGCTCACCAGCCTTGTTCTTCAACCAGCACCTCCTATCCTCAGCAGCTGTCCCCCTTGGCCAAGATCTACACCTCCAATACCCCCACACACACAGAGGGCCTGCCTCTGACCTTGGCCTCACTGTAGGGACACATGCCCTGCAGCAGGATTTGGGATACCCTACAGTCTAAGATATTTTATCTACTTATCCATTTAGGTGTCATCCTCATATCTGTTATTATGGTTGAGATCTACAGTAACTCCTGAAAGACACATTCTGTTGAAGACTTGGTCCCATACAGCAACTGTCAAAGGTGGAGCTTTTGGAAGGTGACAGATCATAAGGGCACTAAAGTCATCAATGGATTAGCATATTCACAGCATGGCAATAACATGTCTTGCTGTCGGGCAGCTTTACCACTGGTGGTAGAAGTGGTACAGTCATTCATGGAACGGTCATGCACGTACCACTGGTGGTGCAAGCCAGAGGAACAAGTTAATCCTAAAAGCTGAATGTGCTATTAGGAGGTGAGACTGTTTACTATATCTTGTCCTGGCGTCTTTCCCACTTCCTCCCGCCCCACCTTTCCAACCGCCATGGAGTGGGGAGCTCTTCCCCAAGCCATTTGGCCCAGCATCAGTGCAAAAGCCATGGAACCAAGTACTTCCCATGGTTACTGAAACCTCTGAAATTATGAACCAAAATAAACCTTTCCTCTTTTAAGTTGTTTATCTCAGGTGTTTTTCACAACAATGAAAAGCTGTGAACATATACAGGGACACATACACATATTCCCTGAGGAATGTAGAGACACAGACTTTCCTCATTCCCCTAGCTGTGCAAGGAGAGGGAAAAAATAGGGGTCTGCAGGGTTGGGGGCAGGGGTTTTGACAAAAGCTCCTCAGAAGGGTTCTGCTGCTACCTATGAGGGAAGGGGCCACGGGAGCAAGTGGCTGAGAGGCTGATTAATGTGAGGCTGGAGATGACAGCGGGTTTATCAATGGGTGAAAGGAGGGATGGAGGGGGATACCAAGCATCTGGGTAGTGACCAGCTCAGAAGGGAATCAGCCCCCATTCTACAGACAAGAACCTCTGCCAGCAGGGTGGTGGTGCGCACATGTAATCTCAGCACTCTTAGGGGCTAAGGCAGGAGGATTACAAGTTTGAGACTAGCCAGGGCAATTTGGCTAGATCAAACAATGCTGAGATGTAGCTCAGTGCAAAGCCCCTGGGTTCAATCTCCAGCATGGTAAAACAAAACAAAAAAAGAGAACCATGGCCAGGCCCCACTGGCCCAAACCTAGCACACCTAGTTCCATGGCCACCTCCTGGATAACACAGCCTCTGCCCATGTGATCTCTGTTCCCCACTCTACCCCAACCCAGCCATTCCACCCCACCCCACATGTCAGCCCTCCTAGCCTCACTCAACAACCTGAACATGCTCAGAGCCTGAGCCAGCAACAAGAAGGCATCCGGGCACCCCAGCATGCACCCTCCCTGCTGGCAGGAGAGCACACGCTGCTGCTTGGCACAATTCCCCGACTACCAGATAGGAAAGGAAAGCCAGTCTTCTAAGTCTGTGTGCGTGTGACAGGGACAAAACTGGGGGGAAAAGAAAAGCAAGAGAGCGGCTGAGACATGGTGGGTGAGATGGGAACGTGAGGACACAGCTCACAGGGAGATGCTAAGCATGTCACCCCCTTTCCTGAGTCCCATGCTCCACATGAGGCTAGCAATAGGGAAGAGCTCCCCTCAGAAGACATGGCTCTGCACAGAGCCATGCTGTAGGAGTCTGAAAGGTCCCAAGTGCTGCCAGCCATTACCAAGGTCTTTCTGAACTGGACTGTTTGCTCTTGTCCTTGGAAATCTGGACTAGTACTGCCTAGTGGAGAAGGTGGTGAAGCACAAGTTCCCACATTCAAAATGCTGCACTGAGGCTCCAGTCCTTGGGAGGAGTTGAGATAGCATCCCAGAGGTGCGGCAGCTCAGAACTGACTGAGGTGTACGTGCCGCAGTGCAGAAGGTGGAGTACCTGCAGGGGCACAGGGCTGAGCTGGCTGCATTACAGCTTAGGGGAATGGGCTCTGCCAGGCAGTTCTGGGCCATGGACCGACACCAGCCCAGTATGCATGTAAGCTCCTACAGAAGCACAAGAACCCAGCCTCAGCCACTCCCAACAAAGAGCTAAGGAAGCATACCTCATGCCCACCTCTAGAACAGCCATAATGTATCTGTTGGGTCTCTACCCGCAGTCCCTCATCCTTTTGGTGCCTGGGTACAGCTGAAAACTACATGGGAGGCAGGTTAGACTTCTGCCCACAGGGCAGCCAGCTAACATGCCCCCTGCAACACCTAGCAGCCAGTAGAGTGCAGAGCCCCAAGCATTCATTGCCGCACTGGGCTATGAGCTTGCACAGGAACTGGGCCAGGACAAGTCACATTTTTAGAGAATAAGCACAAGTTTCTAGCTTTAGTATTTCAGACAGAAATAACAGTTCAGAGGCATAAAGGAATCTCTCATCACTGTCTTGGTCCATGGCACAAGAAAGTGTTGCCACTAAGGATTTGAGGATGGGGAACCTCAGCAAAGGCGACTTGACAGGACCTGTTGGGCACACAGCCACCAAGCCCCAAGGTGACTGTGCTTCTGGTTTGGGTGCTGGCAGACCTCTGGCCTCCTGCCAGCCTTCAGCTTCCTGCGAAAGGCAGAGGAGCGTGCAGTTTGTGCTGTGCAGCCCGCATGGTTCAGCACCTGTGGCTCTAAGCACACCTGTCCCCATTTCCTCAGATTATCCAACAGAGGCAACCACGAAGACAGAGAATCTTAGAAAAGGGCACCCAGATGGCCACACAGAAGCTGCCTAAGGAAAACGCAGATGGGACAGGAATTCTAGTGTGTCTGTCATACACCTTGAGAACAGCAGGGCACAGTCCCCAGGGCAGGGTGTATACTGTACTAGGACCACCAGCAAAGGCAACCCCAGAAGTGATGGCCCACATCGACCAGGGACCATGTTCAGATGAACTAGGAGGCCAAACCCCCAAAAGATGAGCCTCGGCCCCCTGGGTGCCTGGAGGCTCCACAGGGGAACCAAGGACCTGCTCTTCCACCCTGATGCACACACTCCTTTCTGCCTCCCCGCCACCTGGCTGAGGCAGGAAGCAGTTGTGCTACTAAACACAGCAGCTCACACACCCTCCTGATATGGGTCCCCCAGCCTTCAATCCGGCCCATGCCAGGCAGAAGAGGAACCTAAGACCAGCTGCTGCTCTGCTATAAGCAACACAGGAGTCTCCATGCTGCTGTGAGGCAGGTCCCAGTCCTCCCATAACCATCTGTTCTGCCCAGCACCCAGCTGAGGCATCCAGTCCCATTTCTGACTCCTAAAGGGAGATGGTACATTTCATTCCAGACTCGGTGGAGCCAATAAAGAAAAGGAAATCCACCGGCAGGAATCTGTCAAAACAGTCATCTTACAAAGGGTTTTTCAGAGACCAATATTGTAATCAGTCTGATACACTAAAAACCTTCCTACAAACGCCACCATCCAGACAGCCGACATCTGTGAAGTTCATTGAAATCCAAATTGTTGGATTCCCCCCAGACACTGAATCTAGAGTCTGCATAAGTTAGAGGCAAGAGCAGAGCTCTGGGTCCTTGGAGACAGGCAAGGCTACCGCTCAGGTCCAGGAGCAGCACAGAAGGGGACAGCGTGTACGCTCATGCATAGGACAGGGTCCCCAGGGACCAGGGGAGTCCTGGAGGAAACTGAGCTCATGCACTTTTTAAGTTTCCACCCAGCTTTCTAGCAGTGACACAAATCAGAGCCACTTCAGGGCAACGTTCAATGTCCCCACTGTCCAGATGTTTGCTAAACTCAGCAAGGGACTAAAACTCCAGGGTAAACAGACAAACTGGAGAGCAAAGATGGTCTTCACCCTAGGTGTGAGAGACATGGCAACAAGAGGGGTTACCTGTGTGGGCATATAAAGACCCAGCCTGTCCAAGCACAGAGTGAGAGGAGGTTTCCTGGGAAAAGTGGCATTTATGCAGACACCTGATGGTTGGACACCTGGGGGTTCACCAGGCAGAGACTGGATTGCACAGAGCCAGGCTTGGCTCAGAAAAGAGCTGCTAAAGGTTGCGGTGTGGTAGGAGGCTGACAGATTGACCCGTGTCCAGGTCTGCACCATGGAGCCACAACTTCCCCCCCAGAAAAGCAGGGACTGTTTCCATGGGTGAGTCAGGGCCTTGACTCACAGGCT